GACGAAAAAAAAAAAAAAGAATGGAAGGAGAAAATGTATGGAACATATCGAGGAACGTTAATTGTCTATTAGCCTGATTAGCGACGATGCACCACCAGCCATATTTTTGCGACGTGAGAGACACGTAAATAACAATTTTAGGGGGCGCTGTTGCTCGCATTTTTCTCATTGTTCGAAGGTAATAAGATAACCGCAAATCGTATAAACTATTTTAAACCGAATGATCGAATTATTTGCAGAGAGGCGCACCTCTCATCGATTTCTTCGATAGGACAATTATCGAGACGGTTTCGTGGCGAGGAAGTGATTAGATAAATATTTTTTTCAACGGGACGTATCGAATTATTTACTTAAACGAAGGAAAACGCAATTCTTTTTTCTTGTGCGCGGCTCTGATTGAAAAATATCGAATGCACGAAAGGTGAATAGGTGTTTTTTTCTTCTTGGTTTATTTAAAAAGAAAAATTGTTCGTGCCACCGATATTTATATTCTTCTCTTCGTAGAAATTTCAATTTTGTCATCAAGAGATTATGATCCGAGAAGAAGTAGCGTGCGAAAAATTTTCTAAAATGTGATTAACGTGTTTTAATTATTATCTGTTTCTTTTTTGTATTTATCACCTTTAAACTGTCATATATCACGTGTAAAATCTATAATAAAACGTGTATTCGATGTGTATAAATAATATAATAATATAAATAATATAAATAAAGTATTTATACTGTATGATATACTTATGCGACGAAAAAATAAATAAAATATGTATATACGACGTATACAAATTTAAAAATATATTTAAAATATACATGGAATTTGTGTGTGAACATTGTGTGTAGGAACATAATTTTGTTCGTGAGTTAGACAAGGAAAGAGAATTAAACAATTTTTCGTGTCTGTGGCGCCATCTCGCGTTTGGATCGTGGAAGCTTCGACTTGTTACTAGTATAACAGAATATGCATGGAGGTATTCGTGACGTCACAGAGAAAGAGGGCAGCACTGTGCGAGAAAGGTAGAAAAGGCGCCATTATATCCCGACTACATTCGAAAAAGTTATGTTGAAAATTAATTAATAACTAATTTTTTACTAAAAATTTATGCACTTTTAAACTTGCATCTTCAAGTTAGAAGCTTAAACAAATTTCACGTATCGATTTTAATCGGAAATTCTTCTCAATTAATGATTTATTAATGATTATCATAGAGAGTGTCTCGTATATGAATCTTCATTTCGAGATCGAGTGAACGAATGATCGATTTATTCTCTCGAACAACGAAGAAATTACCAGTAAAGATTATTCGTGAAAGTAAAGGAAGAAACAAGCTTTCAAATGTATATATTCATATTTATAAATAAATTCTATAATAATAATAATAAATTACGAATAATGTATTGCGTATCAATGGCGTCAATCCGCATACCACGCATCAATTATTAATAAATAATTAATTGAAAGGAATTTATTGTTAAAATTGACACGAGAAATTTGTTCGAGGTTCTATCTTTAAGATTCGAGCTTAAAAGTGCATAAATTTTTACTAAAAAATTAATAATTAACAAATTTTCAATGTTATATTTTGGAAATGGTGGGAGGTATTAGGAACCACATAACCAAAAAAAGTGGCATGTCTTCTTTATCCTTCTCGCACAGTGTTGCTCTCCTTCTCTGTGACGTCACGAATACCTCCATGCATATTCTGTTATGCTAGTAACAAGTCGAAGCTTCCGAAATCCAAACGCGAGATGGCGCTGATTAAAACTTTAATTTTATCGATCTATCTTTTTCGACTAACTTATCGACGAAAATATACTTCGTGAATATAGAAGAAAAAGAAGAAACGAATTCTTTGACAGTAGCAATTTTGTAACTTTGTAACTGAGAAATATTTGAAGAGTCATCGTAAAAATATCTATACGAAATTTTATACGAAAATATATTATTTTCCATCGACACATAAAAATAATAATATTCGAATTTCACAAAAATTTCAACTCAATTGCTCGAATTGCAAAATCTTATACTTGTAGTTTCATTTATAGGTTATACATAATTTATAAGCATAAATGTTTAATACTATTTCAGTCGGCTTTTTAACAAAATTTCATTGAAATACTATTCATTTTCGATTTATATTTCTTCAACTTCTTTTCATTCGACTGATATCCGTTTTCAAAATTTTTCATCAAGTTTCTCGTATTTTTAGTTATAAATAGATAGATAGAAGTCGCAGTTCGAGTGAAATCGTATTGTAAATACTCTAAATTTTCATTAGACAGGATCATTAATCGTGGTCATTTTGTTCGGTGTGTATATGTGCATGTGTGGCAAAATATACATGTAAACTTCGTTCTTTCGTAAAATCAGTTATAGAAAAGAAAACAAAATAAAGAAAGAGAAAGATAAGAACAGGAGACGTCGCGGCGCCTATCTAGCATGCGAACGACGCCGTCTAGCTCAATTTTGAATTTAACAATTACCATGAGATCTGGCTCAGAATTTTTTCACTCAACTTTTTAAAGTATCCTCAAATAACCTAAAAAATTTGTACGATCGATGCATTCTATATCGTACATACATCAAAATCAAAATATATATAATTGAAAAGAAGAGAAATATTTTTAAGCTAAGATGAAACTAATTTTCGCAGATAAAAAAAGTTAAGTGCTAATCCACCAAGTTGAACTTGACATACTTTCGAAATATGGCATCCAATGCAATGGCATTAAGACCCAAAGTGAGTTAAGTGGCTACAGTTTAACTAATTGGAAAACTTTAGGTTAAAAATAAATTCTATTTTATATGTATATATATATATTCATACAAAATTGTATTCGTAATTCCACAAGGAATCTTCGGTGCGCAGTAATGAAAGCATAGGTTGGTGAGAAGTGTTAGAGCGTCAGGATGTTCGGCGCCACATTGCCGCGACCCAAATAGTAATAATACCGTCGGCGAAGCTTCTGTCGATGGAGACGCTGTTGCGAGTGATGGAGGACGAGGAAGAATGACCGTACACCACCTACATTTGCCTCAATCTTGGACTCTGCGTATATTATTATTCGAGAAAATTTTTACGAGTCCTTTGGATCGGCCACGTTCCTCTTATGGCCCTCGTTTAGATTATTCTCGCCTGTCTTGTGGTTACACAACGCGTATATCTATGCGTACGTATAATAGAATAGCTTATGAAATTTATTCAGTAATGTTATTTTACAGGGAAACTTCACTTGGTTTTTAATATTCAATTAACGAAAAAATCAAGTTATTTTTTTTCACAATTTCAACCGAAAACTTTTTTTATCACAATAGAGCAATACATTCTGGACATTTTTTTTTCATTAAAATTTTGTTTTATTGGAAATTGAAAAATTACATTTAAAAGATTTCATTGATTTCGTATCCTTAAAATAACGATATCTCGATGAAAAAGAAATTGCTCTAATTTTCGAATTAAAAAATTATTAATATGAACAAAAAAATAGTGAATCACTGTATATGAAAAAAAAAAAATTTTTGACTCGCTTTCGTAACGAGAGATACATATTCCTGTTTTTCAGAAAAATTTCAAGGAAGACCATTAAGGGAAAGAGAAAGAAACTTTTCTCGTGTTGATAAATCAAGTTACGACACCCACGTAATACTGGTTGGGAAAAATTCGAGCAAGCAGATATAATAATAAGAACGTTGTGGGTGGAAAGTCGATTGTTACTGTAATTTTGTTGTATATTGTTGGTGTGAATAACCAGCCAATTTGTTTATATTACCGTTTCGTGTTCAGACGAAATCGATTTTCCACGAAAACGAAACGAACGAGACTTTACAACCAATATGGATTTTTCGAATTAACAAAAAATGTGTAGATAATTGTATGTAAGTAATTATTTGAAAAATTATTTATATCGAGATCAAAATGTGTTAATCAATGGTTAATTTTATAGATTATCAAGTGATTACATACGATGAAACTCGTCAATATTTTTCCCATGATTAGAATGATTGCATGAAGATAATTGTATCAATTACGTGCAATTTTGTCGGCAGAGTTTAAATCCAAAATGGCGATTAGTTGTTTGGCTATCGAGGAATCCGCTTTCACAGATAAACGCCGAATTAATTCACTGCTCTCTGTTTTCATACGATAGATATTATTCGCTCGTATCCTTTTATTGTAATATGAATTGGCCGATTGCCAAAAACGATTTTATTACTTTTATGTTCGGTGAAAAATTGATGGAATATTTCATTTAGGTATGAAAATAAAAATTTACTCGAATAAGTAATAGTTGCAGTTTTCACGAATAATTTATCATTTTTGATGAACAAGTACGGTTTTACAAACGAAATTTCAAAAGAAACGAGTTGAAAATAATAAAATTTCTTTATTCAGACAAGTTGTAAGAAAATCACAATGGCACTTTCCCTTTTTCTTTTTAATTTAAACAACATTCTTCTCTCATGCTCTCGCTATATATATATATATATTTTTTTACATACATTTTACATATTTTTTCATATGTATAACATACATTCTATTTCTATTTCTATTATTTTGTTACACAAACAATCGTTCAGACTTATTAAATTTATATCGTAAATGTATCAACAACTGTGTGTCGCTTTTTTTTTTTATATTCTATTCGTAAGTAAAATTATTGCGAGAATGTCTTGATAAAGGAATGTCGTCATGATAATCAATTAAATGTCTCCAGCCTATTTTCAACGATGCATTTGTGTCAGGTAGGATTTCCAACGAGAAAGATAATTATTTGACACAAAATGTACAAAAAAATAATAGTTTTCGATGAGAATCTCGTCGATCGATTACATCCTGCACTCTTACACTCGCATACATATTGATAACTATCACGTGGATAACGACCTCTGTAACATTCTTTGTCACTGTTCCACCATTTTGCGCATTCACGTATTACTATATATTCTCGAGAATTCATAAAATAATCTAAAAATTAATTACGTAATTAATTCATTAATTTTAAATATAAATATGTGATAAATTTGAAAAGGAAAAAAAAATTTGTCAACTTACATATGTACACAGCTTTACGACAAAATGGTTGTGACGCAGGACATGGCTTCAAATATCTTATATCTACCGTATTGATAGTACAATCTTTATCCTTTTTACTATTACATTGATAACATTTAATAGCTTTCGATTCTCCTTATATATATTAAAAAAAATCAGATATATAAAAACAATACATCACGTTATATAGTATTATTAAGGTATAATTTATTTTGAGTAAACAATTTTTTCTTCGTTGTTGTTTCTTATTGATATTTGTAAAACAGAATATAACAAAATTTATATAAAGATATAAAACTTGTCTCAATAACATAAATCGACACATATGTATTTTTGTATGCTAAATAATCATACTATATCTCTAATCTAATCTTAATTTGTATAATGATACATTTAATGATTTTACATTTAATTTGTATAATGATACGTTTAATTTTCGAATTCTTGTTTTCATTTATCAACATCTAATATACGCTTCAATTTATTTATAGTTGATAAAGTTATATTCTGTTTTATCTCTAGTTAATAAGTATGATACCTTTTTTTAAATTTACCTCTTTGAAATACAAATAAAAGTATTAATACTTGTAATGCATTTACATTCACTCGCATTTTTAATTTTTCTTGCTTTTCTATTCGGAGTTTCGTATTAATTTTTATTGAATGTATCTTAATATTATCTTCTCTTTAATTATCGATATATATATAGAGAGAGAGTGAATATATATAGAAAGAGAGAAAAAAGAGAGCTAAGAAAAATAAAAAGTAAATATTATCATTAAATGTAATAACGTAATAAATGTAATAGTGCTTGAGAGGTTATACGTTCATACCTTGATGAATTCACCGATATGAAAAATTTGTTTCCTATATATTTCATTCATGTACTGAAATTCTCTAGACGATTTTTTTATCCATTAATCTATTTAGCAACAAATATTACACAAGGTGAAAAACAATCAGGACAGAATAGAAACAATTCAATTTAACAATTTTTTACTGATTTCGACGTAGAAATTTATTCGATATTTTTTGGACATAAACACTACGAAATCGATGTATGAATAGTCATTTTTGTAACGTAACAAATAATTTGTTTCTAAATTTGTGTCATTTCATTCTAAAACAGTGTTACCACTTTAGAAATTCACGATTCAAGAATTTATATAGTGATAAAAATAATTTTAGATTTTTTCATCACTGTATATATTCGATACAATAATAAACAATAAACAATAATTATTCGTCGTAATTTATTTTCAATGCAGAAATAGTTATTATTTTTAAAAATTAAATTATCCGCGTAAAAATTTCACGTTCATTAAGATATCACAATTCTCCTTGCACTTATATCTACACAGTGTGCTTCACGTAATACAATTTATATGCTCATCGGTTTACCTGAAAAGTGTAATTACATATTACAATACAATATTCTTTTTTGAAGTATAACTATACTTATATATATTTAGATATAATAGATTTATCGATTCATTTTCTATAAAAATATTTCTAGCTTTATTTCGATATTATATCTATTCTTTTTAAATTATTATTACATGAATTTCAAAAATAATTTGGAAAAAAGATATAATTAAAAAAGAAACAGTTCGTTGTATCTTTAACGTGAAAATAATTCCAGGATGCTTATCACTCGGAACATAATCATCGCAAGTGTCAGGGACTCACTGTGTTAAATAAGTTAAATGGTATAATTCAA